CTACAGAGTCTCAAGCCTAAATCCTCCTCGCGAGGTGCTGCCTCTGTCGGGGCATCAGGCACGACACAGAAATTGTAATAGACTTCAACAGAATAGAAATGAAGCTATTTTATTTAAAGTCATGTTATTACTTTAGTGTTGTTAACTACAGTGGTGCTAGAGGAAAACACGTGTTTAGTGTTTACATGTTTTCATGTCTAAAAGATAATGTTTCTCCTTTGACAGGTGGCTTTGTGCACTAACTGGGATGGCAATAGTGGGAATAAGCATTTTGTGTGTGAGTAAAAGTTGACACTTCTCTACTTTGAAAATCAAGTTCTGTTCTTCATACACATTATCAGTAGCTCTGCCCTGTGTGTAGCAGTAGTGGAATGTAGTGACTTCTCTTGTACATAATACAAACATAATACAATGGTTTGTTGCCCTACCCAAGGTCTGTCTGGCAAATGATTGAATAAACCTTAGTTTGTTTCCTCAGTCCCTGGGTTATTTATTTCCTTTTTCCTTCCTAGCTGCTTCTCTGTACCCAAATGCCTTTGCATTGCTGTGGTACTGGCAAGAAGAATGGTTGGAGGAGCTGGCATGATACTCTTTTTTTATATTGTTGTCTTCTGTAGCCTGCATGAAGTACCCAGGTCTAATCCCTGGTTTTGGATTTAAATATAATGACAACTGATCGTTTAAATAACACAGAGTTCACAAGCCAGTAACAGAACTTGGATTCTCTTTCTCAGTTGTGTAGTGTGGTAGAGTTTGGATATTCCTGAGTTAAATAAACCAAGGGTTAGTTAGCATTAGATGAAAACAAAGTTAGCGTCTGGGATTCGATCAGGACACAAACTTTATTCGAACTGGAAAGGAAACTTGACCGTAACACTCTGACATGGTACTGCAGCCATTTCACTTTTATGCAGGAAAGTACGGATAAGAGGCTGCAGCAGCTTCTATTATATTATTTCTGAGCAGTGATTCGTGCCCTCTTGATTCTCATATTTGCGTATATTCTCATAGTCAGCATCACTTAATGAACAGTGCCATAAACATGACATTTTAGCTTCCCTTATCCTGAATCTTAGCTTTCACTTGTAAGGTTTCCAGGCATTCCATGTTAAAAGCTGATTGGGTTTTTAATAACAACAACAACTAAGACTGGTAGAAAGTGACTTTCATTGAATAAAAGTGTTCCTTGTACATAGGATCGGATTTACAGTAGCATATGAACATCTTTGTTTTTTGTGTGAAGTATGAATGATGTTCATCTGGGAGAGAATTTGGCAGAAAAATGAGTTAAATGTACTTCATTAGCCAATGCAGGCTTTACATTAGAATTACAAAGGAAATCAAGGCTTATGTTATTCCAAAAGCTTTACATCTCTTATGGCCATGATGATATCTCTAATTTCAAAAGACCAGAGTTCTACTGAACTGAAATAAGGCAAATTATCATTGGAATGTAAATCTCTTCCTCTCCCTCTGTGCATGTATGTATTTACACCTATGTGTTTCACTGTAGGAAAACACTGAAGTCTTAAATTATCAAGAGATTTTTAATGACGATAGTGCAATGTGACAGTGTAGTTCCCACATCTGAAAACTTCTTGACTGTGGACTGTGAAAATTAATATTGTACATATAATTGTTTACTAATAGTACTTTCATTATTAATTATATTTTTGTATTATTCCACCCATTTTGTCAGGTAAAGAAATTTAATAGGTTAGATGAGATAAATATTCGCCAGAAGTCTAATGAAAAGCCTAAGTTACAATCAGCTTAACCTTGTAATTCTTTGTTCCCCCTCCCCCTCCCCCTCCTCTTTCTTTCCAGGTACCACTTGCTAAAAACATATATGGACTCATAGCACCGAATTTTGGGGTTGGCTTTGCCATTGGTAAGGAAAACACTTTTCATAGCTAGAAATTTGATTTAGAGGAACTAAGTGCAGCTGCGAAATTATACAGAATCTGAACTTCAATATATATTTGTAAATACAGCAGCACAGATTTATTTGTCTACTACAACTGTATCAAGGCCATAGTAAAATCAGTCAAGTAACTAACAATGGGTAGAGGGATGTTTGAACGATGTTGAAGTTGGCCAAACCAAATTCCACGGAGATCAGGAGCACTGCCATTAAACATGGGGCCTGCTGTGTCTGTGTGCGGTTGTCAGCTGGGCTGTGTACGTGTTCCTAGGCAGCAGTGGGCCTTCTGGATGTACTCTGGGGAAATAGTTGCATGCCTTTCATTACAAATGATGACTGGTGCACATGCTCTAGCCTGAATGAGGATAGGAAAAAGGCTTGAATGAACTTGAGGAGGTTTCTCCCAGACACACTGCATTACACATGTTGATGATTACATTTTGGCATATCAGGGAGCTGCATAACCTGCCCAGGGAGCTATGTGGCTAATGGGGCAGGCTAGAAATCAAATAAATGTCACCCCTTCCAGGAAAACCACTAAGGAGGATTCCCCTTCCCAAATGGATTCTGAACATGGAAGAGTGCTATGTGTGCCTTTTAAAATCCCAGGAAAATGCCCCGAACTGTGCATGTGGAGATACTTTCTGGAGAGGGACTGTTTGTGTGTGTTTTCAAATGCATGGTTGCCTGTTTGGGGAATGATAGCTTCATACTGTATCTAGGACCGCTCTCCTCTTCCACTACTAATAGGTGCTCTTCATTGGCAAAGATGCATGTAGGATCTAAGAGTATATCTTGCATTCAGCAGTGGACATGAGTAATTGAAATATGCAGAGAACAGTGGCTTGGGTATTTGCTCTTGTTGCTTTGCAATGTTTTGTTAAAAACCCCTCTAGATACAATACAGAATAGCTTTTACATTATTTTCTGTTGCTTCCTTTAAAAACCAATGTTTTGTATTGCTTGGATTGTCCAAAAGAAGTAAACACAAGTGTCCTGAGGCAAGATACTCAGCTTGTTCTGGATGGGGTTGCATTCCCCCTAAAGGGCAGGGTTCATAGTTTGTGGGTGCTCCTGCACCCAGTGTAGGCACAAAACCCCTTTAATCAGCTTTAAGCTCATATACAAGCTACAACCTACCTGAGCAGAGAGAGTTATCTGTGCTCTGGCAACTGCTCGTTTGGAATACTGGAATGTGCTGTACAAGGAACTGCCTTTGAAAATGACCCAGAAACTTCAACTGATCGAAAGCAGAGCAGCAAGACTGTTAATGGGACCGGCTTCTGAGAACATATTACTCTAATCCTCTTCCAGCTGCGCTGGGTGCCGGTTGAAGTTTGGGCCCGATTCAGAGTGCCAATACTAACATGCAAAGCCCTAAACAGCTTGGGGCCAGGTCATCTGAAGCATCATCTGATCCCATATGTTTTCTGGGAAACGCCTTCTCTGGGAACTCCTTCCAAAGGCAGTGAGGTGGGTGGCTACCAGGGCAGGGCCTTTTCAGTTGTGGTGCCCCAGCTGTGGAATGAGCTCCCTAATGAAGGGCCCACAGCACATGCTTTGCATTCTTTCCAGTGCCAAGTGAAGACCTTTTAATTTTCCCAGCATTTCCCCCAGTTTAACTTTTAAACTTTATTTTTAATATTGTAATTTATTCTGTTCCACTGCTATGCTTCTAGGCTGCTTCACTTGCAATTGCTATTGAGGTATTGTTTTTTAAGTTAATTTTTGTTTGTAGGTTTTTTTTTTTTAAGTTTTGTTAACTGCCCAGAGAACCTCAGTATTCGGTAGTATAAAAATGAAATAAATAAAATATAAGAAACCCCGTATATATGTTTCCGGTTAGGGAGTTTAGAATGTGCTTACAACAATAAAGTTGAGCAAACGTTTTCATTATATAGTATCAGAGTTGACAGATGGTATAATAATTAGATATTCAGCTGGTATTCTGTAAAAACACAAAGACTTTTATTAGCTGCAGAAATTACATGCTGACATCCTGACACAGCAAATATCTTACAGGATTATATTTTGATAAATCACTTCATGTGGTTTTCTTTTTAATTACAAAGAAAATACACCTCACAAACAATTGATAATATCATACAATTACCCATATTAAACCTAGCACAAGTGGTTTTATTATGATGATTTATTATAATAAATAATCATTATGTATTTCATTTCTGTACTTCCCCATAGCCAAAGCTCTCTGGGCGGTTCACGACAATGTATAAAACAAAGCAACAAAATATGCTACATATTCCAAGTGCTCCTGCTGTCTGGCATAAATAGATGGCAGTAACGTATGGTTCCTGAGGGTTCTGGCAATACACATGCAAGAGGATTAGCATGAAATCCTATGCATGTTTAGACAGGACAGTGGCTGGGGAATGCTGCAAGTTTTGTTCCTGTCCCTGCTCGTTCACAAACATATTGAATGGTATATGATCTCACATGTTAATAAATTAATTTGGAAGTACAGGCAGTCCCAGCGTTATGCAATAAACTGTGGAACAAGAGACAAGAGAAGGAAGATCAACCATTAGCAGCTTAGCTGTAGCGACAAAACTCTAGTAGGGATATACCAGAAAGAAATGAAATGTGGAATGCATTTACAATGATAAATGTCTGAGTTAATTGCTGAGATAAAGGAGGAAAAACACTTGGTATCTTTTCCATCTGCATTGGCTTCTCTCATATTAAGTATTGGGCTGCAACTGTTAGAGAAGGGAATTTTGACCTTTGGATAGAATATTGTGTTTCAAGATTTATTGATTTCACTAAAGGTGGCAGAATGTTTGCATTCCATGATAATCCTAGGGCAAACATTTGTTAGAAACCGGTTTCCTTTACAATACTTGCAAACTATGGCTTGCATACATGTTGGCATATCACAATATAGATGTTTTCCAAATACTAATTATATTTGAAGTATTGTTGAACTGAAGTGTTCTTTCAAGTGTATACCTGTGGAAACCTTAAAGAGTTTTGTGACCATGGAAGTCTGGTGGGCAGTTTGCTAGCCACTCTGTACTAGCTAGAAATTATTGGAAACAATAATAGTTACCAATGGGGCCAGGATAAATTGTCTGGACTGCTCCAGGTTTTGAATGTATTAGGTGCCGAGAGGAGGGTTGTTTTGCGGCTCTTGGAGATTAAGACAGTAGCACCTTCACCTTCTTGAAATCAAAACCTGTTAGACAATGTAAGTTAATGTGAACATATTTTATACATTATAAAATGAATTGCTAATTCACTATTATCTGTTTATTCTCTATGCGTATGTTTAGGTTGTATTACAAAATGTGGAAAGAGAAAAATTGAATGTGTTTCTTACAATATTCTGTTTTCTGCTTTGTGATCAGGAATGGTTGATTCTTCAATGATGCCTATTATGGGATATCTTGTTGATCTGCGCCATGTTTCAGTCTATGGGAGTGTTTATGCAATTGCAGATGTTGCATTTTGCATGGGATTTGCTTTAGGTAAGGATTTACTTGAATTCAGTGAGTCTTACTCCTGAGTAAGATGTACCAAAGCCTAAAAGCTTTGCACTGTTTATCATCTGCTATTAGTTTTGCTGTCATTTTATCTAGTCATTGTTGTTTTATTTTGATTGTTAGGTTTTTATCCTTTATTTTAAAGGGATGGGAGAATAAGCAATGTTTGTGCTCATCAAGGTGTTTACTTTTCATCATGATGCTCATCCCTCTTTCTCTCAAGTCCAAGTATCTGTTTTTCTACCAAACAGGAAAGTCACATATTCTTAGCATGAATAACAAGCACTTTTCTGAGCGTGCCCCTAAAATCTGCACTTCCTCCCATTGGCTAAAGTATAAAAATATGTTTGGGGAGAATGTGCAGTTTTGCAAATGTGCACTTGCAGTCTCGTGCACTGTCACAAGTGTGCATTTTTGAATATGAATAGACTCAGGAAAGTGAAAAATTCTGTGTACTGATTTTTCTGCCTGTGCTCATATTTGTAAATGGAATGTTATGGCTTTAGCGAACTGAAACAAATTGTAGTTTGTTATTTTTATTCCATAAGATTACTGAAACGTTTTAAAATACAGTAAGTAACATGAACAAGCAGATATTGCAAAGGCCTTGGAGCAGGCATTAACAATGGCATCTGCCTGGCAAGCTGCAGAATTAATGTGCCAGCTGCAGGGAAGACGCCTGAGAGCCAGCATGGTATAGTCATTAAAGAGTGCAGGACAGGGACTCAGGAGTTCTGGGTTCTAGTCCCCACTTGGCCATGAAGCTCACTGGGCCGTCCTGGGCCAGTCACTCGTGAGATTAAATGGAAAGGAGGAGAACCTTATAAGCTGCCTTATGGAAGGAGAAAGGTGGAATGTAAAAGTGATGTAATCAGTATAATGTAGATATCGTTAATATTGGAGAAGAAAGCAAGGGACATCGTAGTTCCTCTCCTCTCCTCCTTGGTATTACTAGTTGTATTAGGCAGAGGCCCCAGTCATGCGATAGATATTTTCTGAGATAAAGCTTCAGGAAAAATTGCTGCCTTGCATTCCCTTCAGTTCCTGAAATTTTGGCAACCTTATCACCTGTCGGCTTGGTGAGACAATAAGGACATTGTATTTAAACTCAGTTGTTTTAAACGTATATTTAAGTAGCAGTGTCTCTATTGACTTCAAAGGCCACTTTTTGTAAGTAATTTATGTCTATGCATATCCTTTTAAGCATATATTAATTATGCTTATGCAATGTTATGTTTTTTCTTGTAAGTGCCCTTTGTATTTTGAAAAACAATCTGTATTTCCAAAGGTCCATCTGTTGGTGGTGCCATTGCAAAGGCCATCGGGTTCCCATGGCTCATGACCATTATAGGAATTATTGACATCCTCTTTGCTCCCCTGTGCTTGTTTCTGCGCAGTCCACCTGCCAGGGAAGAAAAAATGGTAAGGACAAGTATTTTCCTCCTCCTCCACTGGATATGATGTAGGGCTAATTTGTCTTTTACCTTTGTGGCAAAAGGGATTGGGTGAGAGGTTTATATCTTCCCTACCTTGCACAGTGGTCAATATCTATGTTTGTATAAAATTAAGGGAGCACATTCCTAAAATGAGACCTATGAATGGTATGCTTGACCCTACAGAGGGAGGGCTAAAAGTTAGGAAATAGCAGGCCAGATCAGACCACACATTCCCAAGTGCTGCCTCATCATAGGCTTCAAGCATTGTGGTGGACAAAGCCAAAGTGAGAACCAGTAGACAACCAAAGTGTTTCATTGCAGCTTCTAGTTGAAAGCTTTGTAAAATAAGAATACTGATAGCACAAACAAATGGTAGATATTCAAACCTTTTCCAGTAGACTGATACATGTTAGTACACCAGCAATTGGATAATGAAAGACTTCTGCATTATCACATGCATTCAGTACTTACATTAAGGAAAATAATTTGCTTGTATAAGACCCAGAAAATTACTGAACAGGCTTAACTTTGGAAAGCAGAAATGGCAATGGAAAAATGCAAGTAAGGGGAAACATGATAGAAGTGTTTAAAACTATGCATAGTGTATATTTTTCATCTCCTTCCATAATACTAGAACCATGGGTCATCCCATGAGGCTGATTGGGCATGGGCGATGGTGGGAGATTCCGCACAGAAGTACTTCTTCACACAGCACATAGTTAAACCGGGGAATTCATTGCTGCAGGTAGTAGTGATGGCTAGTCAGCTTTAAGAAGGGTGGGACAAATTTGTGGAGGAGGGGGCTATCCATGGCTACTAGTCTTGTGGGATATATGCTACCTTTGTTGCAAAAACCAAAATGCCTGCATCGAGCAGTTGCTGAGGAGCTTGGGGAGGCAGAGGTCTTGTTCCCATCCTGCTTGAGGGATCCTGTGGACAGAGAGTGAAAGGAGCTGAAGGAGCAGAGGTCTGACCCAGCATGGTTTTTCTTGTTTTACGTTCTGTTGATAGAGACAGCAATAGTGTGTGTCTGTGTGCGCGCATGTGCATGTGCGCATGTACATATTAATATACAGCTCTGTTCTTTTATAGGCAATACTTATGGACCACAACTACCACTTTAAAACCAAAATGTATACACAGAACAACATCCGGTCACATCCAGTAGGTGATGAAGAAGAATCAGAAAGTGATGAGTAATGTATAAACGCCGCCTCAAGTAGTATGTTGTGTAAAACAGTGTTTCCTGTGAAACAGCCCATCAAAACATTTTAGTTGCATTGTCCTTTTAATAGTGAAATAGTTCCGAGAAACCAAAGGTATATTTATGTATTGCCCATGATTATGAAGCACTGCCTTATAAAAGAAAGAAAACAGATTTTTATAGGAGTTTGTTATAGTGTTGAATCTTTGTGTATTTAATATTATGCACTATATTTTTGATTAAATAAGTAGAGTACATGTGTAAATCTAAGTGCAGTTCTATGCTTTTGAAATGGTAATTTGCAACCACTTTCCTTACTATTCCAGATTTTTAATTTACATGATCAGAAATGAGTGCCTGAAAGTAAAAATAATAACTATAAAACATTGTCAATATTTTTGCTTGAAATGCCAAACTTGATTTATCAAAGATGTATCTTTCAGTAAACAAAATTTACCCAATATTAAGAGAAAATACTTTATTGTAGGATGTGGTATTTGTGAAGAAAAACTTTGACAGAATTATTGGCTCATATTTTAGCTGGCACTAGTACAAATACTTATAAACAGAGGACAGGCATTACCCTTCAAAATGCTATCTGCTTTATTCAGTTAACCCATATCAGCTCTTGTTTGAGCATTGCTGATTAAAGCTTTTACCTTCAAATTCTGATGTACAGTCCATCATGTGATGATTCAGCTTCCAAGGAGGTGTTACTGGAGCTGCAAGCCATGCATTAAAGCTACATTTTGTAGGAGAAATCAGATGCTTTGCTTTACACCCTTTTTTGGACACATGGGAACAAATACTCCCCTAAATGGAGTTAAGACTATTCAAATATGCTAGAACCAGATTGGCCAAAGTTTGAGCCTCTTCACATAGATTTTAAAAGAAATTAGAACAGGAACTCAGAAGCTTTATTTTGAAATTTTATTTTTGGCCCATCTGATTTATTTTTAATGTTCAAGTCACAAATCATTTTAACATCTCCTAATAGCTTTTGCATTTCTACACAAAATACTATTCATTTGAGGTTTACCCATTAAGTTCTGCTCTCAGGCACAAGCTGCTTGGTTCATTTACTGGCCCATCCCAGAAGGGATCCCTGTCCTTGGGCAATGGTTATGCTTACTGAATGTTGAAATTCTAAACAACTGATGATCTCCCTTCTAGAGAGAAAGAAAATGCAGGATGGCGGTTTGGAGAGGGCTGTGTAGATTGCTTGATGGGAGGCATGCATCCTGCCCCTTCACTATTGTAACTAAATGGGCAACTCTGCAACTTGCTGAGCTCTTTGGCAGTGTTTGCCTATGGTGGGGAGCTGAAAACAAAAATCTAAATATTTTAGAAGCTAGACCACATGTAAAGATCAAGTATTTATGTAGTGTTGTGTATATGTCACTTTGCTTGAAAAAACTGATCTCTGTGCCTTCTTTCATGTATCAGCAGATGGTTTCTGTTTTAAACCAGATGCCTGTTTACATAGTTTTGTAAAGTGTGGGCTGGATCCAGATCTAGGCTGGTAAAGCAAACATTCTTGTTCCCTCCTTCATACAGCAGTACCTCAGGCCCCCAAAAATGCTACATATAAGGGTCAGGGGATTCTGCTGAACAGGGTAAGCTCCAGTACATAGGAGAGGGAAAGAGCCCTGAAAATTGATCCAAGTCAATCGGATCCTTTTTATTTATGGAAGACAAGATTCTGGTTCCAGCCCAATATATATTTATTTTGGTAAAGGTATGAAATGCTGTAGATAAACTGTTCTTGTTCTGTTAATAATTATACAGAAAAATAGGAACTGGAATGTCATTACATCTCGAATAAAAGGTAACAATTTGATGTTTTGCTATAATTTGTGTATAAAGTAACAGAAAGACCTGTCATTTTCAGCTGGAAAAAAGTAAGGCTATGTTTCATCATGTAACTACAGTGTTAGGACAATTCATTACCTTTATGATAAAGTACAGGAGGAACTTCTGCAGTTCATATTCATCACACATGTAACTTTGATAGGGAGGGAAACAAGCCTTTTTTCCCCTTGGCCCATGGCCTCACATCCTTAAGGGTCATCTGGTCAGCCCCATTTCTGTAGTGCAGGAGCATGTCTCCTGGAAGAACATAGTAGTGTCTGTGTGGGAGGAATGCAGTACCAGTGACAAGTCAGTGACTCCTCTGACCCATATATTTTGCAGATCTTTCCTTGACTTGTAGTGGCAAGTCTTGATACAAAGCTACTTAATGGCAGTACAAGATTTAGCTGCACACACATTACTGAGATTACTAGACTTCTAATAAATGGTTAAAGTACCTGATACTTGGCACACTGGCTCCTAATTATGGTGATCAGTAACACAACACTGCCTTATAATGCCATCCTCATTGAGCACTCAATGTACTTCTGCCCATTCTATTTGTCTGACACGAGGCCGTAAAAATAGTGTTTTGTGTTGTTTGCTGCAATCACTATTCCAATTACATATACACAGGACAGAATGTCACTTGCCATGGTGCAGAATTTTAACTGATGAAGTGTTTGATCCAAATTTACCCAAGTAAACTTCTTTCCCTGGCCCCTGAAATCACTACACAGCTGGAGACTCTGCTGAATGGGGTGAACTGTGTAGTGCATTGGATCTCCAAAAGGCAGGCAGAAGAACCTTCATCAAACTGAGCTTTTCTGCGTATGGATAGAGCCTGCCTCTATGGAATCTAAACCATTGCATTTTGGTTTCTGAGTAGGTATGTTTAATGTGGCTTGCCTATCAAGTTCTAGAAATCATTTTGCTTAATTAATTAGTTCTTTCCACAAAATATAATGTATATTGACAAGTGTTTCACTCATTATTGATATGGTTTTCCTTGTAGTTTTTTTCCCCAAAACAGAAGTTGGTTTGCTTGGGGATTTATATACCAAACTACTATCAAAAGGAACCAAGGCCAAAGGCCTTAACCTACATTTCAAATATTTCTTAAACTTTCAGCTGTACATGCAGCTTTCACTGTTTTGCTATTGATCTTCAAACCAAGATGACTACCATAGTGATGACATTTGTTCCAAGTTAATCTGAAAATGTCACAGTCAGCAAATACCTTTGGTATATATTTTAGAAAACATAACTGGAAATAGTTCCTTTAACTGGGGTGATTATAGCCAGCAATGGGGGAGCCAGGAAGGTTATTTCTTTGAAATATAGTACTAAATTTAAAACTACAATAGATGTAAAATCTTCCTATTAAAGAAAATTTTAAAACATTTTGATATACCTGCATGTTTTAGGCAGAATGCCATCCTGGTGCTTCCACTTTCACTGAAGTAGCGTATACATAGATTCACACCTGTACAAAGAACGATACATTTTGCTTTTGATTATGGCTGTATCTTTCTGAACCTTATATATATGTGTGTGTTGAAGTAACAAGTTCCAAGTTAACCATATTGGTCTAAAAGACACTGACTTGATTTGAATGACATATTTCACAGTTTTAGGGTTAACTCTCCAAGAACCATCACTGGCTGTTTTCGCCACTGACAGAGTAAGCTATGGCACCAGTCATAATGGTGACTGCAGCTCCTTAGAGGTAAACCAACACAAATGGGCTATCATATTGTATGAACTGACCCACCCTGACATTATCACAAGAATGCAGATCTATTTATATGAATTGTACTCCAATACAGAACTCAAATACCAAAGCATTGTATAGTAGGCTCCTGTACAACCTTCAGTACTTCCATTATCCAGTACTATGACTCCTCTAATTAAAAACCAAACTAAAGCAGGATTGAAAAATCAAAAGGAACACCAGATGTTTATGTAAACATGCTTAATAACACTGAGTATCTTTTTAGAAATGTGATTTTCAAACAAGCTCCTTGGAGGTTTATCAGGAATTTCTCAATCAAGGGATTAAGACTGGTGGACAATGGTCTTTGGAAGACATCTTGTTTATCACTGCCCATCTTCCCCAGAAGGTGTAGCCATGGGAAGTGTGCTTTTGGGCTCAGGTTTAGTCCACACAAAATGACAGTGAGGTGCAACAAATATAGGAGAAATAAGCATGCTATCTAGAGCATATTCACAACACCTCTTTAACATGTACAACTTCCATGATGGATGTGAGGAAAACCCTTGGTAGGGCCTCTATGGAAAGACATTTAAAAAGTTACTTTATACAATGATCCATCTATCTCACTGTTGTTTACACTTGGCTTCCCAACTTGTTAACACCAGGTACTTTGGGTGACAGCTCCCATCATGCCTGACAAAAGGATATGCTGGCTGACTCTGACGGGAGGTTTTAGTCCTTAACTACTGGAGGGCACCAAGTTGGGAAAGACATCTCTACACTGGCTGCTAGTGACTCTCGGGGGTTTCCAGCAAAAGTATTTCCCCATGGTACCTAGAGATGGCAGGAAAGGAATCATGCTCTTTACCACTAAACTGAAGCCGTTTTGCAAAGCCTCCCCAAAAGTTCACTGAGAAGCCACTACCTTAAATACCTTTGTCTAAATAGGATGAAATGATCACACCTTCAAATAGTACTGGATGTATCCTTCACGTATTGATATCTTGCAACAAAGAAACTGAAAATTTATAAAAAAGTTTTATTAAAGCTTGTTCTCATGATAAAATCATATCTGACAATCATTTCAAGCAGATTTCCATAAATATGTGCAAGTGTCAAGTAGTTACATACCACTACATCAAGATAGTCTTGCTTTCAGTGGTATTTTTATTTTCAGCTATGTATGGTAAAGCACAGAAGCAAAGAATATAATAGGAATGTATTAATACAGCTCGCTTCTCAGGATCAGTGTTTATTATAATCATGTTTTGTATGTTTTCCTTGTCACTACCATACAATTATTTTGCCACCATTCTCACGCAACATTTAGAATATTGCACTACATTTAATTTATATTATACAATCATAGTATTGATACCCAACTTTTCATGCCCATTTACTTAAACAGTAAACTTACCAGATATTATTTTGGGAAATCTAATGTCTACATTATTCCTGCAGCTGTTTCCTCATCAGCAAGTTTTAAAAGGCAGTATCTGGACACAAGCTAAACACTTACTGAAAATTGTCCCAGAACAGCTTTGTTTAGTAAGCAACACAAAGAATAAATACGGAGACAGAATTAATTTAACACCATGCTGAACTTCTTTGGTTCAGTTTGGGACATAGTTAAGTTACAATTTTCTGTTAAAAATGTGATTTTTTTTCATATGAACTGTGTTCTCAGTTTAGCAACTATGCAGTTTGGTTATGTATTTAAATAGTGACCTGGTTTGAATGGGTTGTTGCTGAATCATAGAATTGTTAGTGAGTTGTTCTTCAACTGTTATTATCTGCAAACTGCAAAACAGTTTAACTATTGATTATTAATGGTGAAAAATCCAGGAAGAGAACCCAGAGTTATGAACTCTACGTTGGTCATTGTAATAATCCATAGTTAAACCATCGTGCGGGATTTGCACACAGTGATAACCCATAATTCACTGACAGTCCATACTCAGGATTGTCATTATGTGTGAACCAGTTCAGTGGGAATGAATTATTTTTAAGGTCAAAATGTGTGAGAAATTGTTCACCTCTGTAGTAACAGCAAAGCAGATTTAATACATACAGTAGAATGCTTGCCAATCAAAATAAGATTAACGAAACCTGTAATCCTGTATCCATTTACTTGGGAATAAACTCTCTTGAACTCAGTGGAACTTCCTACTAAATAGAGAGGCATAGGACTGCACTATTAGTGCAGTATGCCAATTTTACTATTTCAGCAAAGGTTTTATTTAACAGCAAAGTGCTAATATAATGCTGAATATTGATGTGGTAAATGAAACCTTAAGACACAGATTTCAAACCTCAAAATAAGATCTTCCATGTCAGATCAGAAGATGCTTTTCAAAAGAGTGGGCAAGTTTATCTTAATTTTTGTTGGGTTCATAATCCAGTGAAAAACCTACATGCTATATTAAAATGTTGAGCATCTGCCATTTTATTTTGCGTGATGGCATCAAAACCAGTGGAAAGTGAAACATTTTAGCAGTCTTATTAAATGTTACCTTTTTAAACAGTAAATCTTTGAAGATACAGATTCTGTGGCAAAATCAATGCTTAAGTAAACTGAAGAAGATACAGCTCAACTTTATAGTTTCTCTAGCAGGTGTTTAAGCATTATTACAGTATAGAGTGATATGTTCTCTAAAGCGTTCCTCTATATTTAAATCAGCATGAAAATTTTGCTGGCACATTCCCAATAAATTGCTATGCAACATTGGTACAATTTAGGTTTAGATGAAATCTAATGCCCATGGTTTTTCAGGAAAAAAAAATGAGCACCTACTGAGGGCTACTTTAAGAGTTTTAGGAGTTCATCCTTATGATTCTGTTAAAACTAATGGATATTAATGTATAAACAGATCTAACTGTTCAAAATTTGCAGATGAACAAAATTATGGAAAGCAAGTATCCTGATATGTAATAACAATTATGCTGAATAACTGAAAAGAAAGCCACAGTGTTGGCTATGATCCATGACTGACAACCCCCCTCAACTCTCTGAACATTGTCTGCCCACAAATATATTAAATGTCAACTAATGAGACAGTTGAAATCTTCAGAAGCTGGTCCCTTCACAGCTGCTTTAATAGTCAGAATTTTAAAACTGAATAATGAAAAAATAAAACTGCCCACCTTAATAATATCAAACTTTAGAAAAAAATAGAGTAAATTAAACATATTCCAGTATAAACCCCAAAATGTCATTTAACACAAAATTTGGACCAGCTTCTTCAACAAAAAATGGTGGTATTGCACCAAGAAATAAAGCTCTAATTATAATGTTACACAGAATTCAAAAGAAAAACTGGAGAAGCAGCTTGTATGCATTATACTGGTGTTTAATTACATTTTGCTGTATCTGATGTGTTTTGATTAAGTGCAAAATAGTTTCCCAGTTCATCATTATCAAGGCTAAATCTGTAAATCAGTCTATTGATTCATCTTGTGTTTCAAGTCTTTCCTCTTCTTTTAGTAGGGTTTCAAGTACTGGTGTCATCATCAGAGTATTCTCATCTTCATTCTCCATTTCTTCTGTTAAGTTGTTGTCATCATCATATTTATCTTCTTTTCTAGACTCCAAGTCTAAAGCAGTATTTTCCAAAGCTTCAATATCTTCAATTCCTGCTTTGTAATGTATCATAAGGAGTGTTAGGGCTTGTAGTCGTTCTCCTGATTTAGCCAATGCAGCAGACAAAAGCATTTTTTTCTTTGTATCAGTTGTTTCATGCTTTTCTCTAATTAATGAATTATTGTTCTCCAGTTCCTGGTCTATTTCATTTTGCAGTTTTTCCAGCATAACCTCTAATTTCTGGATTCTTTCTTCTGTAGGCAAACTTCTGTAAAGGTCTCGACCAATTTCTTTAACAGCAATGAAAACACTATCATCAAGACCTCCTTCTTTCCTTGCTAATTTTATCCCTGTATGCTTTGATGGGCTACTTGGACCACCAGTTTCAGTGTCACTACCTTCATTATCAGAAGGATGGGGAGTGTGCTTTGGTGAAGGTTCTACTGCTTCAGATCCTTGCTCACTAACACGAACTTTAGGGACTTGCCGAAGATTTAAAAATCGGGTGCTTGTATTGATGATGTGTCTTGTCAAACCTGTTGTTTTGTTTGCAGTTTTCAAATCTGAATCAATACGGGATGCTGTTGTGGCCTGAGAATCTTGGTTTTCTAATTTAAAAGGGCGTATGGCTCGCTCAAGACGTCTTGTGGCTCCTAAACAAAATGGGGCCTCAGTCAGACATTTTTCTTGACATTTTTTGTGGCAGACATATGCGCAAACAACACATTGTGATGCTGCTTTTGTCCAAACTTTCTTTTTGCAGTAGTCACACCATGTTGGATTCTGAAACTGAGTGTCTTGAAAATTATGCTTGTTTTCAGTGTAAATAATTTGTCCATAATAAGGATCTTCTTTTGGAAGAACATGTGCTGTTACTTCTTCTGAAATAGACTCCTTTTCTTTTCCCAGTAGAAAACTTGAATCTTCCGGTTCACCTTCTCTTAAATATTTAAAATGTACAGTAATATCACCATAGCAAAACTTTTCATTGAAACCCTTGTGTGAGGTCAAAGTACGCAATGCAGTTCTACTTACTGTAGCTCTAGGTGCAGGAGGATTTAATCTAAATTGTCTAATGAATTCCATAGAGGATGTTACAATGCAATCTAATGCTATTTCTTCAAGTTTTATACTTTCATATCCTAAGCAGAGTAGTCCCCCAAGTTTGAAAGGGTCTCTACACCAAATGGCAACATTTAGGTACTTATGTTCTTTTTCTACTTCAAAAATGTAGGAAGAGGCTTTTATCCTTGCCCATTTACCTAATCGATTACGGTAAGGAATTTCTGGTGACTCCCACGAATGATGATTTTCCATTGTTGATCTAGAACTCTGTGCAGATTGTGAATATTCTGGAGATTCCTTTGGTACGTCTGATTTGCTTGGAAATGATTTGTTTACAGTTGCTTTAGAACCCTGTAGAACTTCTGGAGGTTCCTTTACTATTTCTACTTTGCTTGCAACCAGTTTATTTATAGCTGTTTTAGAATTCTGTGTGGAATCTGAAACTTCCTTTGTCAACTCTGGTTTGTTTGGAACTAATTTGGATCCTGAAGATTCTTCCCCTGCTGCATCACTGTTTTTTGTTAGCTTTTCTGAACTTTTGTCTCCATTACTTGCAGGAAGTAGCAGCCTGTCTAGTTTCTCCAAAGATAAATCACCAGTTTCTAATTTATTTTGAACTTCATTAGTAAGTGGAGTAACCTTAAGCTGTGGCCTGGGTGGTACAGGAGGTTTAGTTACATTTGTCTGTGACTGTTTGTTTATTAGTGGAGGTGTGTCTGGATTCTCAGAATTTTTGAGAACCACTTGTTTAGCTGCTTCTTTGAAAAGTGCCTTTGCAGATGACTGCTGACTCGCTAAATTTGACCTGCGATTTGGTACTGGTGATAAGGTTCCAGGTGGCTTAGCAGTAAGTGACAAAGAAGTGTGCTTGGGGCTTGTTGTTGAAGAATCATCTTTGAATTCGTTTGATTTTAGTTCATTTGCTAAGTCTTCAAATTCTAAATCCAGGTCTTTGTTATCAGTGTCTGTTGCTGAATTAAATATATCATCATCTGGAAACAATGGGTCTTCCAAATGTATAAGACTAGAGCCAACAGGTCTCTCATAATATAATGTGACTCTCTCACCAGCCTGTCTGATGAGCTTTAGCACCTGCACTGTTGATGTAATTCTAACTCCTGTTAAAAGACAAAACAAGAATCAACAATAAGCAAAGAACATTATAAAATGGCTGAAAGCAATGACAACTGTCCAAACTCAGAGTGCTGCACATATAAACATGGCACTAGATCTCAATATTGCACATTCAGAAATGCATATACAGTTTACATCCCTGAATTGAAAAGGGCATGCACAGTGCCAACTCAGCCTTCTGGTGAAATCTGAAGGCATTAATGATCTATTGGAGGAGAGAGAAAATTGAAACTGGGCATTTTGTACTGGGGTAGAGGGAGAATAAGTCTGAATTCAATTCCCATCCGTCAAAACTCGTAATTGGTCCTGCCAAAGGTGACACTGCAAACCATTTGGTCAGTGGCAGATCATGAGCACCATTTCTAAATCAAGACTATTACAATTATTAAAATCTATCACCCTTGCAGGAAGAGATGGTAACTATTAACAAAAAATAGAATTTTTTAATTGTTGTCATTCTAGGGATAGCATCACTGCACTCATTTACTCGAGATGTATGTCTGCTTTAGCAAGGAGAAAGAATCAGTAGCTGGAGAAGTTAAATTGCACTGAAGGTCCTGCTGCTGCCAAGGAAAACAAGGATACCGAACAATATTTTTTTAAAGGAACCCCTAAAAACATTTTCCAGGAAGTATTTCTACTCCACTAAAATCTCAAATCTCAATTCAACCCTCAAATCAAAGTAAAATAGTTTAGCACAGGAGTAGGTGACATGGTGTCTACAGGCATCAGTGTGTTCCTGGACATCTTCACTGGAGTTTACTGGGACATGCTACTCCTCTCACTTTTGAAATTATGTTTGTATTTTCTTCCTGGCAGGTAGAATTGTTTCAAGGAAAAATGAGAACCTCCAGCTGCTGCCACCTTAATTTTCCATGAATGTCCCTGGCCAGGTTACTTGTCCATTAAGACAAGCCATGCCCACTTGTAGGAGCCACTTTATGGACAATTCCTCAAATTTCCAAATGCGCCTATGGACTCAAAAGTTGCCTTCTTTTTGCACTGCTTTACATAGTAGCAGATGAAAAGAGTGGCACTGGCCTTGTTAGGATGTAGTAATCATGGATTAACTTGGGGTTGTTTAACCCATGAACACCAACTACTGTTCAGATCCCTTGAAAACAACCTAAGAATGATAATCTATAGAAAACTTAAGGAAAATAGAAGGAGTTCGTGTGAAGTGTACATCCCTGTAATTTATGGGTTAAATAACATACAAATCAACTACTACAACCATTTTACACGCTATTAAAGCACCTAAGACTGTATGAAGTTGTGTGTTGCCATGCAGATACACTGCTAAATAGTACAGAGTAAAAGTTATGAGCACATCAGCATCAGTGAATTTGAGAAATTTAGCCATAAGATCCTATAGACTGCGAAGCAGGGAAGCTGAAGGCCTGGTTCTCCATGATAACACTTGCAGAGATGCTATCTTTTCCAAGTGAAGGATCAGCTAAACAGGCATAGTTCTGGAATATCAGTGAGGAAAAGGCACAGATAAGAATGGCTTAGATTAGAAATGTTTTAAGATGAATCAAGTTATTCCTAGAAAAGATTCCAACCAGACCAACTGGATGCCAGGATCATTGAAGGTGAGATGACTTCCTTTTTAAAAGGGAAGTCTTGACCATATGCAGAGCAAAAAGAAGCAGCACAAACTCTGACAAAATAAATGTGTACCAAAAATAAGGTAAGGGGAAGAGGGATTGAAGAGACTATTGCTAAAAACATTGACAAGCAATAAAGACATTTAAATACATCTCAGGAGGAGGAAATAAAACTAGTACATGGGTAGATGATAGTGTAAAAAGTAATGCTGAAAGATCTGCCGTATGTCCCTAGGGGAAAAAGTGCAAAGAATCTTCTGCTTCGGCCTTCAGATCCATGTAGGAAGTTGAGCAGACATGCCAGTTCTGGTGCATGAATTCTGTCAGCTATTTTCCAAGACCCTGACATGAGAATCAAATTATGTGATAATTGGCCAGAAACTGAACAAATTCTTTCAGTCAATTTGCATTGCTTAAGATCTTGGGTATATGCCTAAACTAAGAGTTAGGATCTTGGTATAATTCACAAATTTAAAATTAATAAGTCACTAAGATGGCATGTATTCAAGAATTCTCAATTCAAATGTGAATGCTGACTTTCTAAGAAAAATAAACAACTTTTCCCTAAAATTGGCCTGCTTATGGCTGATTGGAAGGTAGCTTATACAATATTAAAAGAATAAATAAATGCAGGCCTGTTCTTCTAACATAGAGGAAAGCATGATTAAAACTAGAATTCCTAAATGCAGAAAAGAACACTTTTTTTTTATTAAATTCCACCATGTCTCCTGCAACACCAATTTGCACACGTCAACCCATGTGAATAAGGGTGATCCAGCAGACACTGGCTTGGATTCTACATTAAATTAATAAGGTTCAAAGAAGGAAAATTCCCCATTCCCATCATCCAGCAGCAGTTCGAGCTCTATCCTACAGTTTTCAGATGGGCCCCACACCCTTCCAGAGAAGTTTTTCAAGGAGGTGCATATCACTGCAGGGATGAAGAAGAGATAGAAGTGGTTAGTTTTTAGTAGCTTACAAGTTTGTGAGCTTTAAGACTGAAATTTAAAATTGCCCTTCATTGTGATGTGTTGATATTATAGTTTTACAAGGTTATTTTGGTTTTTAATATTTTGTTTAACCTAATTATAGCTGAAGGTGATTCATAACTTAAATTGAGATGGTGGAGGTTCCAATCAGTAATGTGGCAGGTAGAGGAAGATATGGTGCTGGGAGGGGGACTGGCCAAATAAAGGGAACATGGCCCAGACAGCTATCAGCTGTGTCGTATTCCATCCCTCCACCCATGGAAGTGATGGATGCCATGTCATGGGTCCCTCGATACTCCTTTTAAATGCCAGACTGGTACAAAATAAAACTTCCCTCATCTTTGATTTAACTGTGGAATGGATGGCCGATCTGGTATGTATAACAGAAACCTGGGATGCTGAACAGGGTGGAGTTAACTCTACCAGTTGTGCCTGCGAGGGGGTACTTGGTTCAGCATTCTCTCCATCCAATGACTCATCTGGAATGTTTGCACCTTGTGTTAGGGCAACAGGACAGACTGAGGATTCTGCTGGTGTACAACCCACTCTCCAACCCATTAATCTCCCTACTTAAGCTGAAGGAGGTGGTCTCAACCAGTGATGGTGAACCTTTTAGAGACCGAGTGCCCAAACTGCAACTCAGAACCCACTTATTTTTTGCAAAGTGCCAACACTGCAATAAAACCTGAATTTGCTGACCACCAGCAAAAGGGGGCAACATTCCACTGACCACCAGCTTTTGGCCTGCCCTGAAAAAGGCATCTGAGTATAATTCCTACCTGAATGTATTTCCTACCTTTCCTACCTTTTGCAAAAATCACAGCCAGTCCAAGCAAATCCCTGGCAGCTCACTGACTGGCCATGAGAAAGCTTGGCGAGTCACGGCTAATGTCTGGCGCCCTTAATCCTTCCAAATATGTGCATGGCTGCTGGGGTGATTGCATGCCGACAGAGAGGGCTCTATGTGCTCTCTCTCAGTCCTTTTGTCATGGTCAGATCATCACCTTCTGAGGTCTAGACTGATGGTGGCTTTTCCCCTCTGCAAGGGTGGGGGACCTAATAAGATGGTTCTCTCCTCAGAGGTTAACTGATCCAAATAGTTTCTAGAGGCTTTGGGGGATTTTCCAGCTGACATGGCTGATGTGCCTCTTGAAGTCCTAATTGCACTGTGGAATGCAGAAATTATCCAGGTAGTTGTCATGACTGCTCCTAAGCACCCTTTCTGTTGTAGAGCTCATATAGCTCCATGGTACATCTCGGAGCTGAGAGTGATGAAACAACTTAAGAGCTGGCTTGAGTGCAGATGGAGAAAAACTCCAGAAGAATGCAGTAGAAACCTGGTTATGTGCCTACAACTGGGTGTATTTTGAGGCAGTTATTGTGGCAAAGAAACAGTATCTCACTCTTCAATCTTCCCTTCGCTGCCCAGTGCAGTTTTTCAAGGTTGCTCTATTACATTCTGGTCCCAGAGCCTTCTTGGGACCACCTCAGGCAAGCTGTAATTTACTTGTTGGGTACTTCTAGGAAAAAAACAAACAAAACTTGCATCCACTGGGACTTGGACTCCAGCTTAATCTGTGGAGATATCTAGAGCATAGGCTGGTCTGGTTTTATTGGTTGAGTTTCAGATGGTTACAACTATAAGGTATGGACAAGGTGCTTGGTCAGGTTTGTACAACCGTCTCTGTATTAGATCCAAGCCTCTCTTGGCTTATAAAAAGCCAGCAAAGAAGGAACCAATGGCTGGGCCAGGGAGGTAATTAAGGTCTCTATACAAGAGGGAGTCGTCCCATGCTTCCTGAAAGAGTCAACAGTGAGATCTCTCTGAAAAAGTTCTCCCTTGACTTAAAAGGCCTTAATAACTTTAAGCTGACAGGCTGGCAGTCAACATACCTTTCCAGGGCAAGGTTCTAGAGAGGGTGCTTGCCAATCAACTTCAAGCACTCTCGGATGAAACTGATTATCTGGATCCATTTCTGTTGGGGTTCAAGTCTAGTTTTGGCATGGAAACAGCCCTGTATGATGACCTATGCTGAGAGAGAGACAACGGGAGTGTGACCCTGTTGATATTCCTGGACCTCTCAGCAGCTTTTGATACCATCCACCATGGAATCCTTCTGAGTTGGGAATTGGGAACACAACTGGGGAGTCTGTTCTGGAATGCACTGCCATTAGTATGCTGATGAAATGTGACTCTTAATTTCTCCTTTTCATCTTCAGTGGGGGAGGCTGTGAATGTGCTAAACTGGTGCCTAGCTGCGACAATGGACTGGATGAGGGCTAACAAACTAAAGCGTAATCCAGACAAGATTGAGATGCTGTTGGTGGGTGGTTCTCTTGACTGCATGGCAGATGTTCAACCTGTTCTAGATGGGGTGGCACTCT